TTGTCGTGCTGATAAACTTACTGGTCAAGTTGCTGGTATTGTAGGTTCATTACCTCCTGTATTTGTTGAACTTCAAATTAAATTCTATTTGTTAGCTCGTTTATTAGGGGTTGAAAGTAGTGATGGAGAAGCATTAGTTAAGCCATTAGTTGCTGGTGATATTTTAATGATCAACATTGGAAGTACTCATACTGGTTGTAAGGTTATGGCTTTGAAAGACGATATGGCTCAAATCTCATTGATGAAACCTGTCTGTACTACTGTTGGTGGAAAAATTGCTATGTCTAGAAAAGTCGAAAGAAGATGGAGACTTGTTGGATGGGGAGAAGTTGTTAAAGGAACAAAGAAAGTCTCTGAATAAAAATAACTCAAATTTCTTTATTTTATTCAACCAAATACAATTTTTATTGTTTTAAAATATTCTTTTCTCTAATATTTATTTTGGTTCTACAACAAATTAGAAGATATATCTTGTTCCTTTTTATTTCTCTAATTTTAATAAAAGAAGTTAAAGAAAATTATATCAAATTAAGTATAACAAATAATATTAGTTTCTTCTTTTAACAAATAATATTCCAAGTTACTAATTTATTAATTAAATACATATCCACTTCCAATCGAGTTAAAGAAAAAATTAGGAAACTAGACAAGAGATTTTCAATGAAAGGATAATACAGTAATAAATCGGTAGTTATAAAGTCAATTGAAAAAGATAAATAATACATAGTCCTAAAAATAAAAAGTAATTAAATAAGTATAAAAAGAAATATTTGGTATTTGTTAAAGGATAGAAGGAAATAGGAGTGATAAAAGAGTATTTAAAATAAAGATTATGGAGTGTGGTTGGTTTTGATAGGATGAGTGTTGTATGAGAAATATATGGATTAAGACAAATGTAATGAAATCTTGATGAAAGTAATTTTAGGATTAATTAATATAAATTCAGGGAATTATGAAATTACTTACAAGAAAATGAATGAAGAAAAATTGATGTTTAATTTATTATTTATTATTTTTGTATAATTTTTATTTCTTTTCTTCAAAACATTTTATTATATTTAATTAATTATTTTATTTCATTTCTTTTATTATTCTTTTTTTTATTTTCATTTTTATTTTTTATTTATTATCATTTCTTGTTTATTTAATTCATTTCTTCTTATTTTTCATTATTTTTCATTATTTTTCATTATTTTTCATTATTTTTCATTATTTTTCATTATTTTTCATTATTTTTTTTCTTGAAGTTTTAATTTCTTATTCAATATTAACTTTAAGAATTAAAAACAATAAAATCGAATTTTATTAAATAATAAAAATGTTTGCAAAGTTTGACAAATTATTCAATTCAGATTTTTAATATTCCAAATTTTCACATTTGTTTTTGGACCTGAAGTACTCTTTATTTCATTTGCATTAATTACATTAATTTGTGAATTTGTATAAGTTAAATATCTAATAATATCACATGTAAATGTGTTTATTTTACAATTATAGAGATGACTACGATCACAAACACCATCAAGAGTTAAAATATTACATTTAATATTGTTTAAATTAATTGAATTACATTTTACTTTTAAATTAATAAGTTGGCAATTTTGCAAACTAATTGAATTACATTTTATATTTAAATATTTAAATTCACAATTTTGTAGTTCAATACTATGAAAAGGAAATTCACTCAAATCTACTTCTTGTCCTTTACAATTCCAAAAAACAATATTATTATCTTTAAAGTTAAATAATTGGATATTACTTAATATAGTTTCTTTATCATTATATTTAAAAATGAAAGTTTGTAATTTAGTATTATTATTATTATTTCTATTATTTATAAAATTATCATAATAATCAATTGATAATAAACTAATTTTATTCATATCTAAATAGATTTCATTTTGTTTAAGTAATGTTCCGTTATGATACCATTTTACTTCTTGTTTAGAATTAACTTTAACTTTTTCTAAATTTTCATCATGTATTTCTATCGATTTTCCTTGATAATTATTTAGTATTAAATTTGTTAAATGACATTTTGAAATATCAATTGATGCATCACAATATTTAATTGTTAAAGATTTTAAATTAGGAGGAAAAATGATATTTAGATTTTGTTTTTTAATTTCTATTATTGATAAGAATTCAATATATAATGTTGTTAAATCAATTTTAGTTCCTTCAAAGTCATTTAAAATATTTTCAATTAAAACTTTTTGAATATTATTTTTTAAGACTATTTCATTAATTTGATTAATTTTATCTAATATATTACTCTCAATAATAATATCATAATTATTATTATTAAAATTCATTAAAATTTCAGGTTCATATGGTAATAATGGTAAATAAGGAAAATTTATTGTTGATTTATTAAATATTCTAGTATAAAATGTACAATTAATAAATTCATTATAATCTATTTGATTTAATAAATTATTATTTGTAAATCCATTTTGATATAAAATAATAATGAAATTAATTTGTTTATTTTGATTAAAATTAAATAATTCTGAAATTTCATATAATTTATTAATACTACAAAAAATAATTACTTTTTTTAGTGATGATAGTTTAAATAATTTTATTGTTGTGTTTAAATTAATATCATTTAAAATAATTAATTCTTGTAATTGTGTAAAATATTCTGGATGTTTTAATTCAAATTTTATAGAAAAATTTATATTTATTCTTAATTTTCTTATTTTTGAACAAAACCATTTTGTATCAAATACTTTTGTTGGTTTTGATATTTCACTCCATCTTCCAATTTCAATGAGTGGAATATTATTTGTTGATATTTTATATAATTTTTCTGGACATCTTCTAAGATAAAGTGTTTGTAAATTAGGAAAAATTCGAATAATTTTATCAAATGATTGATATAATGTTAAGTTATATGGATTAACATAAATTGTATTAATTACTTCTTCGCATGATTTACATATTTGTGCAAATTTCCCAATATCTTTTAATGTTGGTAAATACAATAATACATTCTTTAAAAAGATATTTTCTAAATGAACCATTTTTATGATTGTTTTTTTTTAGAAGTTCTTTTTTTAAGTTTTAATAAAAATGAAGAATAATTTTAATGTTAGAAATATTTAGTTTATTAATAATTTAATGTAAAAGAGTTTAAATTTTTTTAAGATTTTTGTAAAATTATAATAATTTTACATTATTCATTTATTATTATGTAAATTTATTTGAATTGTTTATAATATAATTTAATTAATTAAGTACTAATAGAATTCGTATTGATTATTTATTATTCAATGGAGATTATTCTCATCACTAAATCTTCATCATTTAGTTTCACATCAATACTGGTTTAGTAAAATCAATATTCAATAACATCCGTCATATTCTTAATTACATTGTTTTTAACTTCTTTTATGATGTTAATTTTTTTATTTCTTTAGATATTTTAATTGTTTATTCATTTATTAATTAATTGATTGAAATTACTACTATATTTTTTTAATATCTTTTATTTTCTTTATTTTTATTATTATGTTCTTCTTTTCTTTATATTTATTTCTTTTATTCAATTATATTCAATTAATATTATGTCCTGCATCATTATTCATATCAATTAATAGATCAGTTTTATTCTTTTTATTTATTACATATTTTTTCGTATTTTATGATATTATCATTCATTTTTTGATTTATTTGTTCAATATCATATTGATGTATTTGTATTTGAATATTATTTCTTATATTGATTATTTCATTTATTGATTATTTCATTTATATTTTGTTATTATTTAATATGATAATACAAATACTATTTCTCAATTTATGATTTTTTTATAACAAATACAAGATAATAGAATATGTTCTATTGTTAATATTTGTATTTACAATTTGTTGAACATTTTATTCATTTTTAATATTTTATTTTTCTATACATATTGAATATTATTCCATCTTATATTTTATTTAATTGAATAAATTCATTTTTTTAATATTGATTAAATTCAATACATGATTGTAGTAGTTTTATCTATAAATTTTGAATCAAACTTTTTTCTAAAATATCTATTTATTTGATTTCAATTTATTAATGTATTTGTTTGTTATTATTTCTTATTTTTATTATTATATTCTTATTTAAGATTGAGATCTATTTTAGCCATACAAGAATGCCATGAAAATCATATATAAATAAATATGCACCAAAAAATAGATTTAGAAGATATTATCAAGGAATAAATATAATCATTATCAACAAAATAATAGCCATAATCACTTTAATAATAATTATCATATTTATAAATACCATAGTACATTCTCAATTAATCACAATTATAACAAAAAGAAAAGTAATTATTATGACCACAAATACCATAATTTAGGTAAAATATTTAATCAATATTATTAGAGAATAAACAATGTAAAAGATATAGAAACAAAAGATATTACAAGAAAAGACAATGAAGAATAGACAAAAGAAAAAGAAGACAAGAAAATAATACAAGAACAGATGAAGAGATTTGAAGAAATAGAATGATAATGAAAGAGAAATTATGTAAGAAAGAAGAACAAGAAGAAATACCCATGTGGTTGAAGAAAATAAAGAAGAAACAATACAATAAACAATACAACAACAAGAAAGAGATATAGAGGAAGAGATAATAGAAAGATATGAGAGAAAAAAAGAAATAGAAGTAGAACAAGAAAGAGAAATAAAAGGAATGGAAATAGAAGAAATGGAGAAATACAAAAGAAAGAAGAAGAAATAAAGAAAAAAGAGAAGAAAGACAAAGAAATAGAAAGAATGAAGAATAAACACCAGATAGAAGTCTATCAGAAAGAAGAAATACGAGCATTGAAAAGGAATTTAGAGAGACAAAAGAAAGAAAGGGAAGAAGAAAATAATAGATTAATGAAAGAGAAAGAAATAAGAGAAATAAACAAGAAGAAGAAAACAATAAAACAAAAGATAAGATCAAACAAGAAGAAGAAATAATAAAGATAAAAGAACAAAAATACAAAGAAATTAAAGAGAAAGACAAATAAATAGAAATAGAAAGAAGAAAAAACAAGGAATTAGAAGATAAATTAAGAAACAGAAAGAAGAAAATGATAAGGTTGAAACAATAAAAGAAAAATCAATTATCAAATTGTCAGAAGAAAAAGAAAACAATGTCAATAAAGAAAATATCGAAGATTTAAATTTTAACAATTGAAGAAGAAGAAAACAATACCACTGACAAAAACAGAAACACCAAAGAAGAGAAGTGACTCGAGTTAAATAATTATAGAAGAAAAGAAATAGATTCTATCAAAGAAGAAATCAAGAAGAAACTAAAACAAACACAATGAGTAATTCAAGTCATGAGAGAAGAATTACTAAGAATGACATTAGAAGAACTAGAGAAGATAATTTGAGAGAAAATCAATATAGAAGAAATAATGAAGAACAAATGAACTATCAGAAATAGAAGAAAATAAGATAAAAAGTTATTATTGTTATGATTAAATATAATAAATATTAAAATGAAAATTAGAGGGAAACAAAATAAGCGAAGAAATTATGCATCTAAATAAATTGCTCAATTGAAAATAGTGTAATATATTTTTTGCATAATGGAATATTCTGTTTTCGGGCAAAATATTTTGAATTAATAAAATAATAGTTTTTATTATTTGGCTCCTAAAAAAATAAAAAATAAAAATGTAAATTAAATACACATTCTATATTCATTTATATTTGTATATTTTATATCATTTTATGGTAAATTGTTCTGAAATATAAATGATTCAGAAATGATATTTGATTTAATGTATGTATATATTTTTATTATTATGTTATTATTATGTTATTTATGTATTTTATTTTTATATATTTATATTTTATTATTATATTTATTTTTATTCTTATATTATATATATCATCATTTTATCTATATATTTTATATTTATCATATTTTATTAGTTTTATATTCTTATTATTTATATTTTATTTTATATATTAATATATTTTTATTTATATATAATTTCTTATATATTAATACATTTCTTTATCTTATTTTTATTTTGATTATATTTTTATATTTATATCTTCTTTCTCTTTATATTTATTATTATTTTATTTATATTATACTGATTTTATTTATCTTTTCTTTTATATATTTTATTTATTATTATATCATTTCTCTTATTATTTCTTTATCATTTATTATTATTTATTTATTTTTTATATCTTCTATCTATATTATATGAAATTATTATTTATTATATATTACATATTATATACTAATCATATAACATTTATAATTGATTATATATTATATTTTTCTTCTTTTCTCTTCTTTTTTATATTATTTCTTTTTTATTTGAATATATTTGTTTTTGTATTTTTGTTATTTATTTTATTTCTTATTTTTGTGTTTATTTTATTCTTATTTATCATATTTATCTTTTATATTATGTTATATTTGATTTTATTAATTATATCATTTAGTATTTTATTAATATAAATATTATGTTTATTATTTTATTATTTATTTATTTTTATTATTTATTTTATCTTTTCTTATTATTCTTTTATTATTTTATGTTTATTATATTTTATTTTTTTATTTCTTTTTCTATCTATTTTTCTATTATTTTTATTTATTATATATATTTCTTTTTCAATTTATTCTTATTCTATTATTATTTATATTTTTATTTATTTTATTCATTCGATTGTTTAATAAAAAATATATTCAATTTTATTATTTGTTTATTATTATTATTTATTTTTATTTATATATTGATTTGATTATTATATTTGTATTATATCATTTTTATATTTATTATTATTTATATTTTGTATTATTATTTATTTATTATTATCATTTTTATTTTTATTTATCATTTTGTATTATATTATTCATTATTTTATGAATTTAATATTTATTATGAAATCATTTATTAATCATTTCATTTTATAATGATATATTATTAAAATTATTTTGTTATATCACATTGATTATTCAATATTTAATGATATAATTTAATGATATAAGATTAATATAATAGATATAAATAAAATGATGAATATTGAAACAATCATTTAAAATCAAAAATAAATAATAAGAAATAAGAATATAATATAAAGAATAAAGAATAAAGAAAAGAAAGATAATAAAGAAATAAATAATAAATATAAATCAAATGATAATAATAAAAACAAATAATAAATAAATGATAAATAAATAAGAATAATCAAAAATATATTAAATAATAAAAATTAAAATTAAATCAAATCAAAATAATCAAAACAAGAAATGAAAATATGAATAAAATGAAAATGGGAACCAAAATAAGCGAAGAAATTATGAATCTAAATAAAATGATCAATTGAAAATAGTGTAATATATTTTTGCATATTAGATTATTCTGTTTTCTATTATTTTCTCTTAAAATTATAAAATATAAAATAAAATAAAATGTAGGTAAAATATCAAATCTATAACAATCAGTCATCACTTTGTAACTTCTTGTTGTATTGAGTATGATGTATCTTGATTTGTTGAGTATATTCATTCATAATTCTGTTCATTTTATATTATTCTTTATTTCATTTCATTTACCTTCAATTCTATTTTAATGTGAAAATATCATTATGAAATGTAATAAAGAAGAACATTATGTTAATTCAAATTTATAATGTTAGTT